CAGTGCTAAATTATTTTTGTGGGTCCAGGTTGATCCCCTCAGACTTCTGAAAACCAATCAGGGAAGTCATTACCACTGCCTCGCATCTCTGTTTGGACCAAACGTCTCCAGATCGATGGGCCACCGCACGCGATGTCGCCCTAGTTTGAGAACAATATCGTGGCCGAACCCAGGCAGTCATAGTAATAGGACGTAATGGTGAAACGGCTATCGAAATCCCCGGTGCCCGCTCTCGCCCCTTTCCATGCTAATACGCTTGGCTGACATTAACAGGGGCACAGTTGGCAAAATAAATTGGGCTGAGCAGTGAAAAATGACGAAACCTTGACACAAAATATCCCAGCAAACGGTAGTATCTCCGGATTTCATCACTTTTTTTCTCAAAGGAGGGTGAGGGGAGAGACTGAAGGTCACCCAAATGAGTAAGAAGTAGAGGAATGTTCCTTTTTTCGGCCAAACGCACGCCCGTTGCTTTCGAAAAGCATTTGAAGTAGTTTGAAGTAGTCCAGCTTATCTGTAGCCAACATCCTTGTATCTTAAATTGTTTAGCATTTGCCATGCATTCCAGATTTGGACGGCTGCTGACAGCTCTAATGAGGCAAACACCGCGAAAATCAAATGTATCTGAGTTATCCCTTTTGTAATTACTCGCCATATCTTTCGAACGCATCTACAGGCTCACACTGGCGGATGACCTGATCCATGCTGGCTGGTGGGAAGCGGCAAGCAGGATCCGAATGCAATAACACGCAGCAAAGGGGGGGGGGGGGATCAGTGTGAAGCAGTCTGAGGTTACTGTCTCAGGTAAGAGGTTAGGACGTGATGTTGGAGCTCACAACACAAGCCTATCCCGCGTAGGCGTTACGCATGCTTCTGACATTCCTTACACATGTGAACAGCTGGCTGCTCACGACATTAAGGACTAGGTATACCGCTCACACTTATACACTGCTGTCTTTATACGTTTCCATGAATGCAATTGGACGCTAAGTAAATGATAGACATCCTGAATGCCGCCATTGTCTTCCCGTTTAATCGCTTTCAAACAGTCTGAGATCTCGGTATTCAGTCCGTGATCCCAAACACAAGCACCGGTTTTCCTGCCGTCATTAGCTTCCGCAGCTGTTGCAAAGCCCGTTATCACAATCAGCTGGCGTTGAGCACCACTGTACCATGGAGCGTGCCAAGGCGCTTGCGTGACCAGGTTTTGACGCCCGCCGTTGATAGCATCCGTCGTTCGGCTTCTGATCACGACCGCTCTAGCCTCTGAGCATCGCCGCGGTGTACGACCGCTCTAGCCTCTGAGCGTCGCCGCTGTGCACGTGAGCTCATGACGCCACTTCGGCGCCGGCGTCGCCCGTAACCGTCGCCGCTGTGTACGCGCGTTCATGACGCCACCTCGGCGCCGGCGTCGCCGCTGTGTACGACCGCTCTAGCCTCTGAGCGTCGCCGCTGTGCACGTGAGCTCATGACGCCACCTCGGCGCCGGCGTCGCCCGTCAGCGCCGCCGCTGTGTACGCACGCTCATGACGCCACCTCGGCGCCGGCGTCGCCGCTGTGTACGACCGCTCTAGCCTCTGAACGTCGCCGCTGTGCACTTGAGCTCATGACGCCACCTCGGCGCCAGCGTCGCCCGTCACCGTCGCCGCTGTGTACGCGCGCTCATGACGCCACCTCGGCGCCAGCGTCGCCCGTCAGCACCGTAACGCCCTCCAATCAATAGCAAGCATCGACGCCGCCCACTTAGCCGCGCCACTACACATCCAGGCGTTAGCCGTGCCGGCGCCATCACGAACTCGGCACGGAGCTGGTGCCGAGCGGTGAGCTATGTCGGCGGAGCGCGCCGCGACTGTGCTGCACAGACTGCTCGGACACCGGCGCAAAAAAGCGGCCTGCAGTCTTCCATTGCGCAGCTCCGTGAGATATCTAACTCTCGGTTCCGGCAAAATGCGACGAATTTAACTGCATGCAAATAGTTTTGGTTTAAGGTTTGTGTGCGCGCTTGCATTCGTTGACGTTTATATTCACACTTGATGAGCCATTTTGACATGCGTCTGACGAATCAAATCGCAGGAACCACATCTTCCCACTGCGCGGTTGACCCCACATGCATGTTTCAAGTCAGGGGACAGCGTATCCAACCCATCCTTGTGTCGTGCGCGTCAGCTGGCGGTACACAGTGGCGGATCCAAGATTGTGCGGTCACATAAACGATTAAGATCGAGTGGTCACATAAACGTGATCAAGCGGTCACATAAACGTGATCAAGTGGTCACATAAACGTGAAAGCGAAAGAGAGCCGACGTAAATGCCATCTCCTTTGATTGAAGCCTTACACATATGCACACTTCCTACCATTTGTTCAATTATTCCTTCCAATTTCGTGTTGCTTAAACAACTGGATTAACTCCAATGATATCGATAGTGCAAGACTATCCAGCTGCTTAACAAATCAGCGGCATTACGGGATGGAATACTATGTTACAACCCTTGGTATATTCTAAGCAATATTCCAACGATTTGATCAGGCGATGTGGTCCCGTCCAGCGTACCCCGAGCAGATGTGAAAACCCAGGCGCGAAAACGGTCTTTTCCCATTAGTCCTCCAACGGATTTCCGCCCTTCGTGTCGCCTTGGGCGGGTGGTGTTGAGTGGGTGTATAAATTTGTTTTGCTTCAAAGTTCGGGTAGACCCTTATGGAATGGCACATGCTTCCAAATACGGTATCACATGAATAGCTATGCTGAATTACACATGAAGAGCATTTGCATGCTACAAACCACTTCTCATTGAATAAAAAGCTCTCGCCACCGTAGGCCATCAAAGTTTGAAATCATCGACATTTGCCTCAAAATGTTAATTTCGAGATTGAAATCCCTGGCAGCTTAAGGTCATCTAAGCTCGACACCATCAAACCACGAATGGAAAAGTTCAAAGTTCGGGACCATACAAACATGGCTTAAAAATGCAGCGGATGTCTGGATAGAGGCTGAATGTCTGCACCTGACACGAGCTCGACGGCGTTTGAGATTGCATTAAAATTCAGCTAGGGCAAAGTTGGACGGCAGTGGTTGTTGCCCCGTTTGCGATGACCTTCAACCTTACCTTTATTTGATGACGTCTGGATGACAGAGTTGACAGGACTGTTGCGAATTATTTTTTAGCAAATTTTGAAAAAAGCAGTCTGTTTTTTATGGCCATTAATCTCATGAACTCTGCAGAACAGGGTTTCCGAATGTTTACAATAAAAAGAAATTTGTGGAAAAGCGCTCCGTCAAAATTTAAAGATCTCTTGGCGGGCCGGTTTTCAAACCCGAGAATTTGGACGACGTCTGGAGGCCAAGGTTTAGATGAAGAGGAACGTGGTTTGTGCCACGGAAATGGGATTGTCAAGAAGTACGTTAGGACAACGTTTCAATGAAGTCGTAGCAGTCTGGTACCATAACTCCGCATTTTTAAGACGCCTGGACGCTACATTTTTGGATCCAATAAAAAAACAATTTATACCATGCAATGTGAGCTTTTTGCAAAGTCTGGTGGGAAAACGCTTGAAGGGAATCGTTAAAGTCCGGTTTTGCTGCCCTTGGACTTTGACGACCTCTGGAGGCCAGAGTTTCAATGCGGTGGACGATGTTTTGCACCATGGGAATGAACTCTTCGAAAAATACATTAGGGCGAAGTTTGAAGAAAATCGTGGAAGTGCGATGCTCGTTTGACCACGAATGCGGATATGAGCTGTCCTGAGACGCGTGTGCCCCGAAGACCTGGCAGAATCCTGGCACCCGGCCCACCCCCTAAACTCGTGGGCCACGAGTGGAGAAGGGTCAGCAGCGTATTTGGATTATGGTACACTGACTTTAAAGTAAGTGTGGCAGCGAGTAATTACTTTTTTCGTGATTCGGCACATTCTTTGATCAGGGAATCCACATACATGCAATATATTTTTGTCTTTAACAAAATCATGGTGTTTATCAAACTTCCCTGTGCTGAAAAAATTCAGTTGGATCTTTCCTCGGCGCTTATCAGAAGTGCGAAACAGTGCACGCGACGCCAACCTCCAAACCAGCTTTCCACCTACGTTAGAGGCTAGATGGTTAAATCATCTGTAACAACGATTTTCTTTCTTGATGACCTTCCAGAAGATGAACACTTGAATAAATTCCACTGACTTCGAGATTGCGAAAAATACATCCATACACTACGATGTACTGACAGTGCTGCTCAGTCATTAACTCCTCACAACGGCAAGCGCGCGAAACTCCTCGAGCGATGAGGGCGCTGAGATGCATAAACACCGCCGACTGCGTCGCAGCGCAGATGCGCAACGGTCAGAACAGTCAACGGCAACAATGCAAGGACAAGTCGACATTGCTGCCTGACGGGAAACTCCATCTCAAGCCAGGGTCAGTATCACAGTTTGTGCCATGTGTGATAAGTTCATTAAAAGAACAGGGAGGGCCACAAAGCCCTCCAGGATGGGACAAATGCTAATTGCGAATATGGGCCTTTTCAGCTCACAACTAGGCCTATGGCTTAGACAACAAAAGAAACTCATGGCTCGCCTAGCCAACATATAGGGCCCAGGCAAAGGCATGCCTTCCGGGCAAATGGGGAAAACTCATGGAGAGCCTCGGAACAATTGAGAGTTCTCAGGGAGTAGACATATGCACACGGCAAGAGCGTAAGGTCACTGGGCAGCGTAATGCACTCCAAATCCCTGAAGCGACGACCTTCTCAACATCCCAAGAGTTCTCAATTCAACCTTCTCAGCCACCGAATTGCTGTCTACCCACGGGCCTCTCATATTCTTTTGGTGCCGTTTCTGGACGACTGGTGGCGAGAAGATCATCATTTTGTTGCACTTTTTGTGAAAAATCTGTAGCCGCTTGGCCAGCGTATGGCCCACTCAGAGCCCAAGGCAAGGAGGAGGGGGGGGGGGGGGGGGGGGGGGGGCTCGTGACCAGTACTCCTCTGGGTCCATCACTGGCTGGACGGCTCACCTGTCAGCAGGGAGAGCAGCACGGCGCAGAGCACGGGCGCCTGCGCTGCCGGCCCGTGCCGAGCCGCCGGCGCCGGCCGTGCTCTGGACGGACGACCCTCGCTCCGGCCAGGGCTCCTCCAGACAGACGTCATCATCCCAGGCAGGCCCAATGGGCCCGAACCGAGCCGCGGCCACCAGCAACAGCAGCACCGAGCGCTGCAACACAGGGGTAGACTGGTGAGTCGCTCGGGAAGGCGGAGCGCCGAACGCACGAACGCACTGGTGAGTCGCTCGGGAAGGCGGAGGGCCAGATGTGAGTTCGGCGGGGATGTCGTCTGGTGCACTGTGTGTCATGGAACCGACGGGTTTGGACGGCTGCTAAGGAGATAGCGTTGGCCTCCCCAGCATCATTTGGCGATAGCCGGGGATATAAATGGTGTGATGAGTAATGTACGTAAATATTGCGTGCAAGCATGCGACCCAACCAACCAGATGTAAGTTGATACACCGATTTACTCGATGCATTTATTTGGGCTAAATATGGATAACATGCTTCATAGTTCAAATCCGCGTGTACTCAGCAGTTTAACCTACATTCGACCCGCCAGGAATAATTATACGATTCCGGAGTTAGTCTGGATTATAGGCAGTTAAGCATGGATTGGACTGGATCGATGCAGTTGCGCCCATTTTACATCCTTTGTTCCACGAAGCGCAATTGCCAACTCGTGCAAACGCCCGGGAGCAGAAATCCATTCCTGCGTCTTTTCCCTCAGAGAATGCTGCATTTCAAAGTTAACGTGCGCATGCAAAAGGTAGCGATTAAAAGTTGCCAGGTATTCGTCTATTTCAAAGTGCCATTAGCCATTTTTTACAAAGCGATCGACGCTTAAGCGTCTCCGCTATATCGGCTCCAAACGTTCGTATTGCCAACACCACTTGCCATGATTTGGCGACGCGAACTTAGATGAAGGCATTCGAGCACCGTTTTCAGATTCCGTCGATTGCGGAGATCTTTTAGTACACGGACTTGCGAGGTTATGGCCGCCAACGGCGCTATTTTGAACGATTAATCTGGCGTCTTCACAAGTTGCAAGAGAGCCCTGGACAACATAGACAGTAATGCGAAGCGATGCTCGTCAGAAGTGTTTGCGAGAGGAAGCGATAGATTTCCACGCAGGTAATCGAACTATGTCCTTGACGCCATCACTTCAGGCTCGGTGCCAGGGAAAAGCGAATACATATTTGAAAACTTTCATACCGAAAGAAAGGACTTTGCACGGCAATCGACATCAGGCCTTTTCCGACATTCAGGCCAAACAAAAACAGGCAAGGATTCCTAGGCCTATGGATCTACGGTACTCCCAAGAGCTGTCCTCTCCTCGGTTTTGGGACACTTTTTACATTCTAAGAAGATCCAAATATTATTTTTGGTGAATTGATGTCTAAGGCATGAAAGGTTCTCCGCCAAGCAAGGAGGAATAAACTGCACGTTGGGGAGTGGGCAGGGCTGGGGTTTGAGTCCGAGTTGGACCGAATAGCATGGGGTTGAGGTTTGAGTTTGAGTTAGACCGAATAGCATCATGCACCGCCATGTACAATGCCTGAAGTACCCACCTCACCGTACGCAACACCTGCAACACTAGGTGCGGATCCATGCCTACATTGCACGCGTGACGTATACATACGGGAGTGGCTGTCAACAGGGTGCCGCAAAAACAGCAAAATTCCACATCAAACCACTGTGGACACCACCAGATTGCATCTGCGCCTCCCCGAGCTACGGCACTACGCTGTCCAGCGCTGCACCGACTGCGCGACTCGAAGATGCATCCAAACCCGACTGTCTGCACTCGACACATGCAATCAGCTTAGGCGTTGAGCACCACGGCACGCTTTATGGAGATGACCTGCGGTGATTGCGCCGTCACAGTTGTCAGGTGATGAAGCTATCTTATTCCCAGCCGGCGTCATTCAGTACGCGACGCAGCGATCATATCATGCAGCCCGTAAAATCGCACCGCGCGCAGTTTCCATTAAAAAGTTTGTGACAGTCTGGAACCCTGCTGTCACATCACCTTCAAAGCTGCTGTAAAGATTTGCCTTTGCTGGCAACCATGGTCCGGCTTTGGCCCATTAAAAGTCGGTGCAGTTGGAAGATATTTGTTATGTCTTACACCACAAGATCAATGTTTTAGTTGCCTATATATTTCAAAAGTTTCGCGTCGCTACACAGCACTATCTGGCATTGATAACAACTTAAGGGAGTTGAATTACTCATCATCCACTCGAGCGTATATTAAACCGGCAAACATTTACGGCGTCATTCATAGAAACCGTGTTCGTCCGTTTTCAGTTGCTATTCGACGTTTGGTGGTCGCTACACGTGAGCGGACATATTAGCCTATCATATATCACGTGTCAGGTGCCGGACTTTGCTAAACCGTGGGTACAATATTCCGCCTTGCGTAACACGCGCTCGGGTGGGGGTGGGGGTGGAGGCGATTTGACTGTCTCGAAATTTTTTCCGAAGTGATATCCGAACGGTGCAAATTTGGCATAGCTGTAGAAAATTGAATAACGAAACTTTTGGTGCGAATAAAATTAGATGTGCGTTGTAACGTCGCTGACCAACAGCGGGTCAAAGTCAGACCATATATTCACAGAGGACAATTGCTAGGAATCGTTCAATCTGACGCAACAGCAGAGTGTTAGACGAAGTCATACATGTCTGAGATAGTTCCTTGTAAAGCACAACTAACTTAACAAATTCGTTGACATCGGATCCGTACGGGAGTCAGACAAAATTCAAACCAACCTATTTTTTACTCGAGATCTTCCTGCGTCAGGTAGTTTCTGGAGCTTATTATGAATTTATTGATAGCAGAAACTGCATTATATATCTTCTATGGACTTCTTGGAGGTCAGAATAGGTCACTGGTCCAAAACAACCCAGGTCAACATTTTGTTTTAAGTAACATACCGACTTGTGCAATTATTGAGGTTATTCAAATGCAAGAATCCAAACAGCGTTGTCTGATTTTGGTCACCATAACCATCTAAAAGCCAAACAAGGTCACTGACCTTAAATGAACACCAATACCTTCTGCTTATAACTGGTATCTAGGTTCGCGGTGGCTGTATGTGAAGGTTGGAAGACACTATGGGCACCAATGTAGCGTTTAACCTTATTTGACCTAATGGTCATGACCTAGGAATTCAAAATTTTGACACAAGTGAGCTCACTGCAGGCCAACACACTTTGTGAACTTCGTGTGTCTAACTTTCTTACTTTCTAAAATTTTAGTGGGTCAAACTGACCGCCCCATCCGAGCGAAGGTTATTCAGTCGGTTATCCGGTGCGTGTTAAAGGTGCCAGGATAACATGATAAAACTCACGCTGAGCAAACGGGACGCGGCTGACAATTTAGACGTTTCAAACGTGGCTGATGGTGGCAAATATCATTTCTAGATCCTGCCCACGGAAACCCCGCAGTTCAAACGGATTGCAGACAAAGCTTCCGTGTCTGATGAAGCATGCTTCGGCATTAGTCTGCAGAAAAGATTCCCAGGCGACAAAAAGAAAATGGCGGAAGACTGGAAATGTATGCACAGAAGCAGCAAAGGTGGATGAGAAAAACAATGCTTGCATGTTTGATACAGGTGTTGTATTTTTGATATTTATGCATTAACGATGCATGCAACGAATACTTGGCTATTATATTATGATGGCGATGTAAAGACGAAAAGACGGTGGAACGAGGATCATGACCAATGTGCGTTTTTGTGATCTATAATCAGTGGTTAGTTAGCAGCTTTGGCTGCCATGTGGGGGCCACTTCGGCTGCCATGTGGGGGCCACTTCGGCTGCCATGTGGGGGCCACTTCGGCTGCCATGTGGGGGCCCGGGTTGTGCACTGACTTATGAATGCTAATGACGTCCTGCTATGCAAACTGCAACGCCAATGCTAACTGCAACCGCTGGCGCTCAACAATAGGGAGCGTGACGACGTGCATAACGCTCCCTTCATTAACTAATACTTCCCGTCTGCTAAGTACGTGAGCCATAAAAATAAGAAACGAAGGAATTATCAACCACGGGTCTTCATGCTCCATCATCAGCGTCGGTCTCTCTACATTTGAAACAACGCATTTGCCGCAGTTACTCAGGGTATTAGATCCGATCCATCGCGCTCACCATTTATTAAACGTGTGCAAAAACATACCAGCAAACCACAGCGGTAGGCATCGGCCGGTCTTTTCACAAAGCGTACTGCATTCTCAAAAATAACCGCCATGACCGATTTTCCACGCCTTGATAACTGTCTAGGACGACAATAAAATATTTCAAGAGATACTATAAAGCTCCACAGGGCACCTGTCATTTGAAATCAGCAGGAAATTGCCTTTTGGGAAGTCAGTTCTAAACAGCTTACCATAATAAAAATAAATGACACCTATAATGCAATTCTCCTTCCGCATAAACATCAGCCTTTTCAACTCAGCAGACAAAGTGCCAGGAGCGCAGTTTGTTAACAAGCCCTGAAGTGCGCAGCGATCTCGGTGTTACAATCTCGTCGAACAGATCGTTTCTAAGTATGTGGCGTGCGAAGCGTAAGCGCTCTGAGCACCCAACGTTACGAGGGCAGTAATGAAGCAGCTACGCGTTCTTTCGCCTTTTCTCTACGTCTTGTATTGCAGAGATATTCTCAGTCGCCGCGGCATGACATCTCTTGTCAAGATGCCATAGGCCTGACGGTGCTGCCTGATCGTCTGCAGGGCAGACTGCAGCTGATCTTCATCGTGTCGCCGATCGATGGCCGTTTGAAGAAATATGGTGGCCGTTTTCACTCTGCCCATGCGGCTGGCCGGCTGTTATGGCTTGCGCCTCCTTTGAGAGGACATTCTGAAGGAGCCTGAGCGGTCTGACAGTGACGTGCTTCTCTCCTTGTTATTCGCGCTTACGCTAATCTGTTCCTGAACACCGTCCGGGAGCAGGCCAAGCTAGTATGGCGGCGTCGTAGGTAAGCTCAGGTGTTCGTAGCTTTTCGCGTTCCAACATGTTGGTTGAGTAGTGGTAATCACGCCTAATTTCAGTAAGAGTGGGCAATCCGTCACTTGCAATCATTATCACAACCGACTCCCAATCCATCGCAGGCTCAGTCATGTAGTTTCCCCCAGGCAGGTGTACCATTGGCAAAAAGACTGACTACCTG